ATGACACTTTTTGCTATTAGATCTGGACAAAATATTGATACTAAATAATTGTTACTGGAAAAAAAATAATCTTATTTGCAAATAATAAATACTCCTTTCTTCCTACATCTGATTTGAATAGTAGAAAGGAAAAACAACAACAACATCAACAACCAAGCCATCAACAAATAATGGCTCACAAAGAAAATGCATATTCTTCTAAAAGATGCCTAATAGTTGCATTTTGTTCACTGTAATTCATGAATGCTACTTTGTTGGAGTGCAATTACACAGCATGAATACATTGTGGTACGCTACTTTACTTTTTATAAGCATATATCCACAAGCAGCCACTAGATCTGATGAATCTTATTATTATTAGTTCTGTGGACATTATAGTTTTACCTCTTGAAGATGTCCTTTCCATGGCTAGTTCAGTGTCAAAGAAGGAAGTATTACTAAGTAAAGTAGCTCCATGCATCTTTCCCTTATTTCTAATAATCACAGTCTCTTTAAAGTTAGATTAACTTGTCTTTTCCTGAAGGCTAAATCATTCAGTTTGAATGTATGAGCAGCATGGAGAAAGTAGGGGGATAGAAGAAAAATTGAATAATCTTTTTAGAGGGGCTATGGGAATTCTCAGCAAATTCAACAGGTCATTGCCACTGCTAGGATCATTGCCAGAAATTTACATTTTTATACCTGTGAAGCATGAGGTATCCTCCAAAGCAGGATAAGATTTCCTTGGGCATTTTGATGCTTTTTTATATATTTTTCTGCATTATACATGGTTAGTTATTCAGGGACCTAGAACAGATAGCTGTGGAAGCAGAAGGGAAGGGACAGACATGCTGTTTATTGGCTTATAGTCAGTTGGTAAAAGCTTTGGAGCTGTTTTCCACTATGAGTAGATTAGTGAGACAGGCTGAGCAAGCCTACATCCATCTTTGTGAATGACTTTGCATTTTTTTTTTTTTAATTCATATAAAAATACAAGCAAAAATCAAACCATACCAAACCAAAACAAAAAACACCCAACCATTTACACTAGAGGGGGCTCTATGGCATCTTAAGACTCACAGAGACATTCCAGTGTAGTCAAAAGAGCAAAATACACAGTTCAGCTAAGTAGTTCAGCTGTTAGACAGCACTAAAATGTCTAAAATGATCAATTATATTGTAGGGATCCAGAATTTCCTGAAATCAGTGCTGGAAACATGTTAGATTGTTCAAATTGTCATCCTAGTTTGCAAAGGTAACTTCAACAGACAGTCATGTAATAGCACTTGGCTACTGTACCAAAAATAATAACTTTGGTTTACTCTGTCTTTCATTGTTACTCTAAAAATACAGAGTGCAAATCAGAAGAAATTACTAGAGTTTAACCAGGCTTGACAATGAATTGTTGGTATTTATGTGAATTCCATTTAAAGCAAAAGGTCAGGCCACACATTCATGAAACTCAGTCCTGACTGAAAATATTTGACAGCTACAGTAAGTGTGGCTAAGTTTTCTGGTTTGTGATCAGAAATTCAAATGCTTTAATTCAAAATTTGATTCCAGATTCTGCACTATACAAACAGATAATGCCAAAAATGGCATAACATTGTTGGAGCTGTGTGGTATTTCACAGTTTAGTGTTCACATTGGGAATCTTACCGTGATGGTGGAATACCCTTGACAAATGCATTTAGTCACTCATCATTTGCCATTTACTGCAGTGCCTTGATGGATCAGTGCCCAGAAGCCACTGCACACCTCTTCAGCCTCTGTGTCGAGAGAAAGCACTTCAGTAGCTTTTCTGCAAGGAGTTTTTAACCCTTGCTTTTGAATTCTTGGGTATGTTCAAGGAAGAGGATGAAATACATGGGAGGGGCAACTTTCCCATTTTCCCTTGCAGTTACCAGCTGAGAGAAAAAAGATTTCTATTGAGAAAGCACGTGGTAGATTTTGAGGGTTGAATGTGAGATGAGTTATGTTAGCAATCTAGTTCTTGTTCATGCATGTTGAGTGCCAGTTTGTCCAGTGCACCATGAAGCAAGGGTGATCTCAGCAACGACTCAGGAAAAACAAAACAAAACGAAGCAAAGATCATTGTGCAGAAAAAGTGACACAAAGGAAGGTTCACCCCCACTGCAGTGCAGTGGGTGGCATCAGAACCTCTGGCTCCTTCAGAAAGAGGCAGAACGTACTGTCTGAAGCTCTGGGGAGAATTTCTAATTTCACTGAAGTCAGCAACAAGGAGAATTGTACAAAGATGCCTGAAACTAACATGATTCAGTTAATAGAGGTGGACAAAAACAAAACTTTGCACTTGGTAATTGATCCTGTTGCTCTCTTTAATTTGCTGTTGCTGCAAATTCCCTAAGTAGAAGGAAAAAAAAAAAAAAGGAAGAAACTACGCTGACACATCATGCCAAAGCTTTCAACATTTCTGTGTATATTGTTATTTAATTTATAATTTGCACTGCAATCTGTATTAGTCCAATTAATATTACAGAAATTATTAACAAATAGTCATTGAGAGCACAGTTTTTCTTTAGATTTGCATTTCAGAAATGTGATAATTCTCATGGTTTGAATTGTTAGTATAAATAGCAAATAAGTCCTTTTTAAAGTCATTTTGGGATCCCTTTTCCATCTTGCCTGACCTGTCTGTTTTTCTGGGGAGTGGTTAACACAGCTGTCGTGAGAAATCAAAGGGAAAAAAAACAGGAGATGGGAGGGTAGTTGTACATTCCATCTCTCTTCTGTCGTCTCTTAATGCTCTCTTCTACCTACTCTCTTCCTTTTATCTGTTGTTCCTATTAGCTGTCTTTCTTCTTTGTGATGCTTTCATTAATAAATTATGTTTAAAATTCCCTTGCTAATATACACCTTTCTCTTTCCCTCTTTTCTTCCATCTTTTCCCATTGTCCAAAGTTGTAAATTCACTTCCTGTTCTTTAATCTGTTCCCCTTCTTGTAGTCATTTTATTTCAGTTCTGCTTCCTGCCCTGCCTCAGTGTTTCTTAAATACATGATTCTTTCTCTTCTTCTCTCTTTCTTTTAAGGTGTTGATACCATATTCTCACAGCAAGGAAGTGCAAAGTGGGGATAGGGATAGCAGGAGTGGTAGGAAGCTGCTTTGTCATCCATGAGCTGACAGAGCAGCAGGTAACTGCAAATAAATGTGTCTGAATGAATTCTCTCTATCCTGGGACCAGTATGGTAAAGAAGCACACTATGAAAACACTGAACACAGTCCATCAGCAGTTCACGCTGTTGCTTATAGCTTTTGGGCCATTCCAACCTAATTCAGAAATGATGAAGCTAAGTCAGCCTAGTTCTTCACACAGTAGTAGTTTACTTTCAGACATAATAAAGCATAAATCTTTTGCTTTCTGTCTTGCTGCTTAAAAAGTAAAACTACCTTAAAAGATGTGTTCTTTTCTAATAGGAGGAAAAATTTGGGATACTGTGAAAACCCCACGGAATAGCATAATGGGGAAACAGAACTAATAGAAAGAAAACTTTAAAATTATTTATCTTGCTGATTGTATATTTAAAAAGGCGAATATACCACAATAATCATCCAGGTTTTTTGCCTTCAGCCTGTCTGAGGCCATGTGGTTTGGAGATCTGATCACTAGTCCGAAAACGAAAGGCTGTGTGCAAGATTTCTGGGGTGTTTTTTCCTGGAAAAGGTGAGAGGACAAAAGCAGAAATCTATGACATAAACTTAATGCCTTATAAGGAAAATATCCATTTATTTATTTGTTTACCTATCTATCTATCTTTGTAGATACATATATAGAGAGATCCCTATGTTTCAAGCTGTCACTAAATTGGAGGCAGGTATTTCTTTTATCTGAGAATAAGGTTAAAAATTCTAAATTTGATGTAACAGCTTGAACTAAGAGAATTGGATTTTCGTATTTGTTTTGCTTGTTCACATTCACTGTTCAGTATTTTCTGGCGTTATGCATGGAATTTCCATCAGTAAAGACAATTCTACCTCTTTGGAGACAGAATGATGCTGTAGCAGAAGATAGTGTTTGAACATTCAAACTGCATTTTGTAACAACCATTCTTGCTTAATACACCTCAAAATGTTTTGTGTCATACAGTGTCTGTGTGATTTTGAAATCATTTCCAAACTGATACTTTGGGTGAGCATTATTAGCTGGCATCTTGTTGTACAAATCAATCATTACCTTCTCATCTGTGTTTGTGTTGTTGTTCAGTACTTTTATTTCCTCTATAGAGGAAGCTTTGGTTGTTTGTCTTTCAAACCAACACTTCTTTTTCAACAGCTTCCTTTCCTTTTTTTCTTTTAAATTAGCAGTCCTCTGCCAATTTTCTCTTTCTTCTTTATTTCTTCCTTTCTCTTTTTTTTTTTTCTTCTGCTGTGTAACTAAAGCAATTTTCAGATTATATCAGCTTTTAATAAGCATTATTTAAATTTGATTTGCACTTTTAAGAGCATCACTAGAGGGCAGTATTGATTAAATTAGCATACAGAACAACAGGCGCACTCTAGCGCTCAGTGAAAACTCGAAGGCAGAAAAGCCTCAAGTATAAATATACTTGCACTGTTAATAAATGACTGTCATACTCATTTTCCATCGTATTCTACATGTGTAAATTAATGGTCATCTTTATATCCATGTGTATTAGATATTGCTACATATAATTCAATGCAGGTAAAAGAACATTCTGGGTATTATTTTTATGAAAAAGAAAGTGCATGGAGCTTGCTAGAAAGTAGAAGGCATTGAAATTGTTGTAAATTATTATTTACATTCACGAATTTATTAGATATAACTATAATAGTCGTGATTTTTTAATAATAAATGTAAACAAAGGTTTATTATATGCTGTTTCTCAGGGAAAATGTTTGCTGTAAAAAATAAATATCTTCTAATTAATTAACTATCTCCTTGAAGAAACTTAGAACAGAACATTTTAAAATAATGGACAGCAAAGATAATCAAAATTTTAAATGAAGACATTGACTCATTTGTTCTTATTGATTTACAGGTCTCCTGACAAATACAGCAACACAGAATCCTCGTAGGAGTGGTTTAGGCTCTGTATGAGCTACTTAACTTAGTCAAGTTTCACTGCTGTGGACCATCATCCATTATATGTCATCAACTCAACTGTCTGTTTATCTGTATCTCATGAAAGACAGCATAATTTCTCTACATTATGAGCTAAAGTTTGTTCTACCATACTAAGGATCGCTGGACTAAGGAATATAGAAAAAAGAGATATGCTTGGGCATTAGCAATACAAAAAAGTTCATGGTTAATGTTTCATCTGCGTTATACACCACTGCTGGACTTGCTGTTACCTACATGTTTTAATCTGAAGAGTCTGCTACAATGAAGAGTATCATCCCAATCAGCCTTAGAGAAGACTGTTTTGCCTATGGGAGGACACTGAGGTGCAAAAGAGAAACTCTTCTTGTGCCCTAAACTGTCTGAATTGCTTTTATTTTCTTATACTTTCAATATATACAATAGACCAAAGAGCAAAATCTATTTTAAAGTGGACACAATCTTACTGTTAACAGAGTTATGTTGTTAAATCGTAGGGGGTCTCCACAAAGACATGATTCCAGCTTTCACAAAGCTGAGATGTTGTCCAGCAGAAGTCTTTATGGAAAGCTGCAGTAAAAACTAACCCAGAGACCAGCTCTTGAAATGACACATTTGAGAGAACGTAATGGAGCACTGAAAGGAAATGACCTATGTTTGAAAAACTTGGGACAAAAAGAACATAAACTGTCTACAAGGCACCTTTATTCCTCTGTACTTAGATTGACTTTCTCGTACTAAAATCATTTTCAGTTTTAACCAGTTAAACATGCCTCTTCTACAGTTCCATTTTTGATAGTTAAAGTTGGATAATACAGTATTTGCAAAGAGCATGTTTGGTCATCTGTGGCCTATGTCTCATCTGATACACCATTTAGCACCAGAAAGCAAATTAAAGAGAAAACAAAAGTAACACTTGTTTGAAAGAGATCATTAAATGTATTTTGAAAAGCCTAAAGTTATATATTTAACAGTTTTTATATGTTGTATATTTGTAGAAAATCCTATTTAACAATTAACGTGATGACTCTGACAGTCATGACAAGTGGTTCAGAGTTAAGTTGTGTTTTATTACTTCAGTTGTCTCTGAAGTGACTGGTGTCGTTTGCTTTCTTCCATTGGGACATTCTGGATGTAAAGCATGACGAGAGAGGACTGTGTAGAAAAAGCAAAGAATAATGTTGTTTATATTACATAAATGCATTCAACCATTGCACTGTTAGAAGGCTTTTTTTTTTAATTTTTTTTTTTTTTTTTTGTCTTTATGTACTGATAAAAATAGAGTGTAAAATATTTTACTCATTGCTCTTTGTAGCAAGTTTTGTTTTTTTTTCTTTCTCGCTCTCTCTCTCTCTGTTCTTCTCTTTCTTTCCCCCTACTTTTATGTAATACAGTCTAAGGGTCTGTTTGCAGCCTATTCCTTTCAGTGTTTACCTCATTATTAGAAAGCCCACTATTTTAGTATTATTGGTTAGCAAAAGTTTAACCAAGACAGCAAAGAAGAGGGGGAAAATGTGAAAAAACAGAGAAACAACAACAACAAAAAACTTATTCCCTTTTTATGTGTAAGTTTGGTTCGTAATAGTATGATACAATCAAGAAGGGAGCTTAATTTCTTCCTGGCAAATGTATTATGGTTTCAAATATACTACCTAATACTCCAATTAACTTTTAATGTTATGCTAGTTCTATGCTACTAAAGAAAAATATATAGAGATTGTTCAAGTGACCATAGATGAAAGGTTCAAAAATGAAAAGTCGATTAAAGAACTTTTTTGAAGGCCTGTTCCAGTATAGGTCTCTGCTTATTTAATGCAGAAGTTGAAGGAAAGATGAAAGATAGATGATTTTGTCTTCAAATAAAATAAATATATACAAAATTATTATTTAATCGTAGGATTTTGACCAGTGTCAAGGTAGCAATCAAAGCCCAGCCACTTGAAAAGTGTTATGGACTGACTGCACTATAAATGACAAATGTCAGGTTTAAAATGTCATGCAATAAGTGATGGTAAATACATTTACTGTATATGTAGACCTCAAGAGCCAGATCCCTCACTCTACCAACTCTCTGTTTTGATTTATTTAAAAGGGAGTGTAGTAGCCTTATTTAGTTAACACAGTACAATTAAAGATGTTACATCATTTTGTTGCTTTACAGTATTCAGTTTTGTGTTGGTTCAGTTAAATTATGAAAAATAAAGAAAATCCTTTTATAAGTGAGACTTCCGTTCCGTGAGCGTGACATGAGCATGGTAAGACTTAGCAATGGAATGTGAAATCAGGGACATGAATCATATACTGAAACTGAAGTTTCACCCTTCCCTTTTCATGTCCTGTGTACATTCGTTCTGGTGTGCTCAGTTTTAGATCAGATTAAGGTCATTTGTCCTCTGGAAACCAGATCCCACTAGAGGATCTAAGAATGGACATCTATAATCTTTAAATTCATAGTTTCCAATCAGTTCTGAACATGCAATGTTATGTCTGTATTCTGAGTACCTCAAACACTGAACAAAAGATGCACACTGTTTACATGGTCTATTCTGGACAAAAATATAAGAGACAAAAATGTTGGGATTATTTATCAGAGATCAGTTAGATTATTCAGTGTGCAACAGACACATCAGGACACTTAGAATGTTTTTATTTTCCCACCTCCTCTATAAAGTATTTCAAACAAACAAAATATACAGTCTGTTGATGTGAATTATGAGCTTAAGAGCAGTGGTGAAATGTTTGTCTCTCAGGAACAATATGTTTTCAGTTTATTGTGAGCTTCTAATTTAAAGAAAAAAAAAAAAAGTTCCATAAAAAAAGCATTTCTGAAACTATGTCATGTGCCTCTTCCAATGCTGCATTTGAAACACGGAGGAGAATGTCTTAATAGCCTTCATTACTCAGCTTGGTCACAAGGAACTTTTCAAAATATGCTTGAAACAGACCAGAAGAATACAGAAAATGACATAATAGATAAAAACAGCCTCTTGAAATGAAATAAAACTGTAAACGGTTTTTGAAAAAGCTTCTTTATAGCTTATGTTTGCCAAGGTGAGGTCAGATGTAACTAGTGCTGTTAATGTTTAACTGTTTAGATATTTAAAATCTGAGATATCAAATGGAGCAGATATTAATATGCTATAGCAATCAATGTGACACATTGTTTTCTAAAGTGCTGATTATGATTTTATTTTATTTTATCTCTCCCCAAATCAGTTCTTAGCAGTAGCTCAGGTTTTATACATGTAATATCCTCAGTCATTCACTTGTTTATAGAAACTATATTCACATACCGTTGCATAAATACTTAACTCAGGCACTGTACTATGGCATATTCATAGAATCATAGAATCATTAAGGTTGGAAAAGACCTCTGAGATCATCTAGTCCAACTGTCCTCCTACCACCAATATGGTGGTATAGCTATACTATGTTCCGTAGTACAACATTTACACATTACTTGAACACCTCCAGGGAGGGGCAGTGACTCCACCACCTCCCCAGGCAGCCTGTTCCAGTGACTGACCACGCTTTCAGAGAAACAGTTTTTCCTAATATCCAACCTGAACCTCGCCTGATGCAAGATAATGATAGAGACATTTTGTCTGCAAGTGGGAATGGCTTACTCTGTGGTAGATAATAGAGTTTCTACCATTAGTTGTTTGTTCTATGAAATAGTTCTGGAATAGCGAGGGTTAAAACTGAATTTAGCTCACCAGTTTAGAGATTAAGAGAAGTGACATTCAGCACAATTGTGAGTACTATTCGGAGTTTCCAGAAGAAGATAATCAACACTATCACTGAAGGACCTATATGGTTATGAGGAGCAACTGAACTACAAGCTAGTAAATTGACAGTTTGAAAGGCAAATCACAGTAATGACTATTTGAGTCATTGAACTACTGTAAAAAGAAAAGCACAACACTGGAATTTAAAATAAATAAATAAATAAATGAGTAAGGGTAGAAATGATTTGCAGCTACTGTTCTCTCTCTTGCTGAAAACCTTCCCTGATATCCCAACAACAGTACTATGATTGTGGCTAGAATTGGTTGATATCCCTCAGAGGAGTATGCAGATGAAAGTCATACGTCACCTTTGTGTTAAAATTATTATAGAATTTGTGGTGAAAATTATTATAGAATCACAGAATCATTAAATACCAAGGTTGGAAAAGACCTCCTAGGTCATCCAGTCCAGCCATCCACCTTCCAGCAGTATTTCCCCAGTAAACTATGTCCCTTCGTACAACATCATTATAAAGGCCTAGAGAACATGGTACATATACTTAATTCAGAAACAGCACATTCTTGTTTTTATTTTATGCAAGTTTTATAAATTATGCTCTTTTTATTAATTTGTCATACTCTTTGTCAACAGAGAGTGAGAAATATCAAGCCAGTTCAGTTTCTTCTTGGTTGATGTCATGTCTTAACTGTAAGCTTTTTAATATTGCTAGGTTCTCAGGTAACAAAATATGGCATAGCCCTCCCTGAAGTAAATTTGCTTCTGAACTTCTAGTTTCTGGTCAGTGTGTGCTTTATGCCTTTGAGAAAAAGAAGTCTTGTTATATATATACATTTTTTTACTTTACAAAGATACAGAAGTTATAACTAAGAAATTATGATACTTTCTTCTGCATTTTTCCTAATGCCTTAGTACACTGGCACACTGAAGCAGAGAATATTAGATTGGGCTTAGACAAATAAAGATGGACAGGAAACAATATTCTATAGCTGAAATCTAGTTGAGGCATGAATAAAGAAAAGAGGCCAAGAAAGAAACTGAAAGTAAGGCCAGAGAAGATTAAAGATTTTTCATTTCAAAGTAGCTAAATTCTTAACATTTAATAAGTGCAGGGGAGCCAAAAGGATTAAAAAATGAAATGAGGAAATAAGAAAAGAAATATTTCTTATAATATAGGTATAATAATTTAACTAATTATAATTAGTTAAAATATTATATAATATAGTTGTCTTATTTTGGGATATAAGTCCCATTAAAATTTGAAAGCCATGGGTAACATATAAAGAATAATTCTGTCACAAATTAAAAATAAGCTAAGAAATGTGAGAAAAGTGAAAGTAAATTGCAGTAAGTCAAAATAGACAGTGACTAATGCGGAGCCATTCTATGGCAGAATCAACATAAGTTCCTGAATTTCTTCATAATCTGAATGAAATATCAACAAAGGCTGCATGATTTGTTAGTATCAATAAATTAAACTCACAAGTCACTGAAGGTGTGGAAGACGTGTGAATATCTAAAGGCAGAAAACATGCAATAAAGTATTACTTTTAAAAAATGGAAAACTGAAAATCAGGCATTTCGATTCATCATTTGTCATTCCAGCAAACCCCTTATGGCCTCAGGAATGTAAAACTTTAGAGCATGTACAAAAAGGGGAAAAATTGTTTTGTTCTGCTGTTGAGACTGATAGTAATGTTGGCTTGAAGCTGCTTAATTCCTAAGTCAAATTACTGATTTTATGTGGTAAATTGATGTTAGATATGTTTTTTCAGAGTTCAGGCAAGACACTGGAAGACTCTTAGGATGAATCTATAGTCACAAAGCATGAAATGCCTTATAATGTCCTGCATAGATGGCTTGGAGAGACCATGACCGCAGTTTCCTAGGTGTGAAGTTGCCAACATCAGGCTAGTGAAAGTGATGTTAAGCACCCTGATGTAGTGCATGGATTCTGTGAAATAAATAAACAAATAAATTTTATTAGTACAGCTGATCAGTTTATATCAGGAAGCAACTTTTCTGAAAATATTAACAAATAACATGTAAAACACAGCTAAAGTATAATAATTAGGAGAGGATGTTAATATATGTAGGTCACTCTGAAAGTAATATCTCTTCTTTATTTCCATGGGATCTACAGTAGATGTAAAGAGCACAATAAAAATATTTGATAGAGCAAATTCTCAGCTACACAATGATCTTTTTCAACAGAATCAACATTATTACCTGTGCATTTTTATTTGCGAGGAGCAAGAGCCTTCATATCTTGCACGTAAAAATCTGCATGGCTGCCTGATACACGGCTTGTTTTTCACATTGCTGAAACATTCCACTGTTTGGTCTCTAAAAATGTTGAGTTAGAACTGATGAATGTCAGTGGATGTGAGTTTTTCCACATAGAGGAATTCAATGACACGTCTTTGCATCATATACACTTCCATGTCAGATGCCATTTTGTCAGACTGCCCCTCTGCTGCCATCTGTCTCATGGCAACAAAATGTAATGGTATATTGGGAAGAAGGTTCAACTTATACTGCTATACCACCAACATCAGCCTCTGATGTAGTGTGCCAACATAATAAAATAAGAGGCATTACTTTCAGAGCAACCCTCCTATATACACAAAAAAGCAAAAATGTGTCAAAAATGTAATAAAAGGGAAAAAAAAGTACAAAATTTCTGTAAAGATCTTTCAGAACAACTATGTAAAATTTTAGGAGTTCAATCTTCACAGCTATCTATCTGAGGAGTATGTAATCAAAGAAACAATGTAATCATTTGCATAGATCAATTTAAATTATCAAAGTAATCTAACCACTGCCTCAGTGGGCTAAGTAACAATCAGCAAGTGCTCCTGCCTTCCATCATTGCATAGGAAGAATCCTATATAAATATTCCTGTACAGTCAAGAAGATAGTTTAGTACAGGCAAAACTACATGTCAGCCTTGCAAGGTAGAGATTTTTGTGGTAGGAAATTCTGACATCAGCTGTCATCTGGAATGTCTTGCTGAGTAGTGAAGGTACTGCTGAAAGATTTGCTGTAGCAAACTGAGCCACTTGTTAAAATACAAAAGAACTGCACATAACTCACAGAGCCTCAGTAAAGGGGGCCTTCCCAACACAATGAGTAATACAAATATTAGGGTAAATACATTTATGCTGTTATGTGAGAAGACATTTAGTCTTCTATATGCAGAACATGTCCACGTAGACTGATGAAAATAAATGTGTGCAAATTCTGTCCCTCCTGACAGTCACTTCCATGCTAATGTGTTTAATCTGACTTCAGAGCAGAAATGCAACACAGACACCATCTTTAATACATATTAGTCTAATTGATATGCTGCTACCAAACAATAAAAAAGTATGTGGAGTCTTAAAGAGAAGTATACATGCATTTGATAAAAATGACAGTTCTTCAGCGAGCGCAGATAACACTTGCACGACACTGGTAATGGAATATGAAGGCCATTCAAAGCAAATCGAAGGATCGTGAGCTCTGGAAAAGTAGATATTCTGGCTGAGTGAATAATAATGATCTTTCTTTGCATAAGTAACCAAACATCCACAAAAATGAGGATAATCACAAATAATTGTAATGCCACCCAAGCTCCTTGTTGTCTTATTCTCACTCAATCTACTACAATCATAGGAGAATGTGCAGTACAAATACTCAATAGCACTTATAACTCCAAGCATTCCTGTGATTGCTTTTACTGTAATAACTGTAATGAATTTAGCCCAGGTACCTTACTGTCTATTATGTTCAGATTTTAAATTACCCTGAAAGTGAGTCCACCTACTCTTCTGGAAGAAATGCAGAAACTTTAGGCTGCATCTTTGTATGTTCCAGGTACTTCTCACTGTATGAAGAAGCAGGGAACATCAGGAATAAATGTGCCAAGAGTGGAAAGCTTTGTCTAAGAACAACTGAACTTTGTAGCTGGAAACAACAACAACAACAACAAAGAAAACTATATTTAAGGGCCTGAAGACAGAAGTGAACTTGTGGAAGTTTAGGCTAGGTCTCTCCAGATTAAACAATTAATCATCTAGCCATCCAACCAGTCAAGAGAAACCTCAAAGGACAGAGGTTATGTATAGCATTTAAGAGCATTATTCACACTGTAGAAATCACACTTTCTCTAATTCAGCTGATCCATAAACAGAAAACTGTAATTCCAGATGCATACAGTAATATGTGCTGTCTTAACATGTAGTGAAAAACCAAGAGAAGGAATACATATGAAAGACCGCTGACATTCTGAAAGGAAGGTCCTTGTCATCAAGACTTTATTTAAAATAGAAAATAAAATTTGCAGTTGCCCTGTGTACTGCTGCCTCAGTTTAAGTTAGGGAGCATAATTCTGGGATTGTTATTCATGATGCTAAATACATTCATAACTTTCTCAAAAAAAGATTCTATACAGACAGATAATTCTACAGAAGCAGAACCAAGTTATCCCCATCATTTCTGCATTCTGGTGGCAAGGCTAGGATCTTTGGAGAGATCAGATGCAAATGAGAAATACTTGTTACCAACCAACTGACAAGACAATCAGATCTTTTGGAAACTCGTTGGTACAGAAGTGATGTCAAGTGTGACTTAGCCCTCAGTAAGTTAATATCATTACCTAGTCCAATACCTTCAAGTCCAAAAAACAGCTCTCAGAATCTGTAAAATCATGTGACTAATTTCTTATATTTGGCAGTAAAGATGGCATTTCCAGCATTTGCGGGAATTAGGTAAAACTGTAACCACAGGCAAAGCAGAAACAGGAAGTTGAATGCTTGTTTCTTGTCTTTCTAGTGCCAACAACATCCACCATTTTGGATGAAATAACTAGTCATTTCTAAATGTTACCTGTGCATAGTTATACTCTGAAACTTCCAAGATATTATATACTCCTATTAATATCCAGTTTGGGAAAAACTGGATTCACAACTAAGACTCATTTGTGATGTACAGTTTCAGTTCCCTAGCATGTGCCCAGAATTGCAGGGAGCTGAAATCCAAATGAGTTAAATTGCTTCTCAGTGTGACCAGACATAAGCATTTTGGTGAAAAAGCAAATTTTTTATTGGACTAAGCCACTAGTAGAGAAAATCTTCATAGCAGATCTTAGCTGACATGGAATCTAAGCAGCCAAGGAATAGACTAATTTTTCCTTATTTTAGATCATCGTTGTAAATACTTATTCACTTTTTCAAGGTGATTTGCCAGTGCACTGGCTACTTCTTGGTAGCTCCTTTCCGAAAAACTCACATTATTTCTTAGTAGACCATACTAGTTCTTATGAGAAATGGCTGAGCAGCTTAATTTCAGGTTATACTTAGCATGCTGAATGTATATTAAGAAGAGCGGAAGGCTGCAGGAAGTTTCTAAAAAGAGCATATAGCCAAATCTTGTGCATGTTGCACAGGAAACTCTTCCTAGCAATCAACATGGGTAGTGATACAGCTTCTTGTAGCCCAGAAAGTTTCTGAATATCTAGACGTTAAATACAAAAAAGTGAGTGGAGAAAAGCTGTTTTGGTATCTGTTATTTTAGTTGTACCCATGAGGTTAGAGCTTTCTCTGCTTCAGAAACATCTCCTTCCTTGTGGCGTAACAAATATTATGAACTGAAAGCCCCTCTTGTCAGCTTAACCAAAGAAATGTGTGTAAATAGCTCCACTGCAAGGCCAGTTCCTATTTTCATGATGATTACAGTAGTCTTCTTAGACAGCTGAACAGAGTGAATGGCAGATTCATCTCCTGCTTCACCTTTTGGGAGCAACAGTTTGGTGTTGACTTAGGATTTGTTGCAGCCTGCAGTACAGTTAGGTACAGCCAGCACCTGCACTGCAGTGACCACAAGCTGTTCTAAGTGATCTGTTTCAGGGTTGTTCAGCCTGATTTGGCTCCTTTTTTGGTTTCCGGAAGCAAGAAGTGTAGTGCAAACTAACAATCCAATTCATGATCCTGCTTTCAGCTGTAGTCCTCAGCACTTGGCCATTAGCAGGCCCTGAATTTGCTACTCTGAGGGGGTTTTGAATAGGTTGCATCATCTCAAACTACAGCATGATGGCTGCCCTTCTGTGGAAAAAAAAAATGAAAAAAAAAAAGGAGCAGAATATTTCTTCAGAATAACCCTGCTGTTCAAAAAAGAAAATTACACTTTTCCAGAAGTCTGGTACTGTTCTTTTTGGCTATCTTGTGGAGAAGAATTGTGGAAATAACTCTGGATATATGCACAATAAAATTTGTTTGCTTTCTATCTATTTGTAAAGATGTCCTGGCTTTGGAAAAAAAAGCAATTCAGCTTGTAAAACAGTTATATGGGCCCAATGGTGATTTTTGTTGCTCTGAAAACAGCTCTTCCTCAAGAACCATTTGAAATGAAAGTCAAAACAGACAGCAAATTATTCCTTCTCATTCGATTTCTTAAGATTATGCCTAAGATTATACTCAGAGATGAGATTCTTCCTAAATTTAAACATCTACTTACTCAGTGAAAAAAATTGCAGAAGTCTGAGTACAATGATGCCATCTGGTGACACCTACAATGGTGATATTTTTCCAAACGAAACATAAAAGCCATGTCTAGATCCATCAGCTGATCAGTGCTCCTAAATTTCTTCTGTTCTTCATGAAGGAATATATTGCAGGACCTTCTAATACTGATAATGAGACACATGTCTGAGGACCACCATGCTTTCATTTCACCTTCAAAAACTTCCTTACAACAAGATGTATCTATTTTAAGAGCATTAGGAATGCATCTGTTAGACAGTAAGTTGACTGAAGGGAATGTACACTCTATAATAATCTGTTCCTCATCTATAGCATATCTCAGGTTCAAAGGCAACAGTGTATATCTATATTCATTTCACTGAAAGGTTTCCCTTACTAGAATGCACTGACCAGTACTTTCGTCTTACATGAGCTAAAAAAAGAATGCTTACTACTGTATTAATTATTTCAAACTGTAAAATAAAATAAAATAAGCCTACACCTAGTTATTAATAATTCTAGCAGAAAACTCTTACAGTGACAGATGACATTAGCCTATAAGGCTTTATAACTTACATGGTAATAAAATGGGGTTACATTTTTGAATTAAATTGATAACATGACCAAATCGATTTCATTAGTGTATCTGTCATATTTGCTGTTAATGATGGCTAACAGTGGAATAGAAACTGACAACAATCCCTGAAAAACTGTGCAGATCAAAATTATATTATACTGGCATTCATGAATTTTAATACCCTTTTGTCATTGCTTTTTTGAACTCCCTTTTTAAATTTGAAGCTCACAAGAAGAGAATTAAACTTTCTAGACCTGTCTCAGCTCCTATAATTTCTATTGTTACAAGCTAATAAGCTCAAGAATGGAAGACATTTCCACTAACTAAAACAAAAAAAAGTCCTTTCTTTAGTGTCTCTTGTGAGTGCTTTTGGAGGAATGGTTGAATTTCCACTGCTGAAGCGTTGGCATCAGAGTCATTTCACTTGAATGACTAGAGAGCTTTAGGATACCCAAATTGCTGTTTAGAAGGCTGTTTGTGGAAGATGCTACTTGTATTAATAGACTTTGTTCGTCTGGTATGTAACTCCTTTTAATGCTAAAGAAGTCCTGCAAATATCTACAAGAGAATATACCTACTGTCATGAATCATCACTGTTCTCTAATCCCATTAGTAGAACCTAGTGTATGTGAGCTAAAAGTGTGCAAGTAATGAAATGTTCACCTCAGAGCTACAATTGAGAACACCAAAACATTGTTACGTAACGAGATAACTGGACCTTCCTGCCACCTGAAAATACGACAAGATATTATACACATTTCACATGAGGTAAAATAACCTTATTCTTTTCCATGTATAGTTCCTGATTAGAATCCTTTTCTTGGGTTAAAATCATAAAAAATGGATAACTAATAAGTAAAAGCAGAGTGCAAGTAAGGTATGACATTTTCTTAAACATTTTATTGCTTATTTTAAATACGTTTTCTTGCATACATACAATTGTATACACATTGTGAATGACACTATGTCTGGTTTGAGTGTACTGTCTTACTTGCTCTTACAGATTATGCTTCTGTTACAGTCAGGAGTTATGATAGCAACGTAGGTGAACAAATTCAGAGAAGCTGTAATCAATATGTTTCACATAGCAGAGGGAGAAATGTTTGGTGTGCAATTTGTGGAGCTTATTCTTGCCTTGCAAACGTGGTCTTCGCCTCTTCTATGATACAATTAACAAAACTGATGAGTTTTAAATTTCATCCTGTTCTGAGAAACACACAGACCTCAAACTCTTCACAGAGAGAATGCCTTTCTGTGTACACACTGACAGTGTGTATCAAAATATTGCTGCCCTTGGTATTCATAATAATAGTATTGGTATTTTGAGTGTGTGGTGGGTTGAAGACAGACATCCATCCAGCTGTTTTCTCAGTGTCCCTTCTCAACAGGATAGAGGGAGAAAATGAAAATGAAAAGTCTGTAAGTAAGGACGGAAACAGGGACTTAGCTTATCAATTAACCACAACAGGCAAAACAGATCAGCTTGGGAACAATTTTTTTTTTATTATTTTTTTTATTATTATTATTATTTTTTTTTTGCCATTTAAGGTAAGTTTGGATAACAAGAATCAAATATAAAAAGAGCGCCTTTCATCTCCTCTTTTTCCCAAGGCTCAACTTCCCTCTTTCATTCTGATCTCCTTGCCTTCCTCCCTGAACGGTTTGAGGGTTTAGAGAACAGCCTATAGTCAGACCCCTCTGTTGATCTTTCCTCCTCACACTTTGCCTTGCTCAAACATGACCTGCAGTACATCAGAATAAGCCTATTTTTTCATGGATCTTCCACAGGCTGCAACTCCAGTGCTCAAGTGTGGGGTCTTCTACAGGCTGCAGTGTGGGTATCTGCTCCAACAGGTACCCAGAGCACTTTCTCCCACTTTGCCTTCCCTGACCTAAGGGTTCACAGAGTTGATTCTCACAATATTTTTTTCACTACCTGTGCAGCATATTTCATCCTCTCTTAAATACATTTCTATACAGGTACCACCGTGTTGGCATCTTGGCCCAGCCATGCCCTGCAGTGGGTCTGTTGGAGTCAGCTGGCACAAACTGTTTCTGAAACAGAGGAGCCCTAGCCGTCCCTCTTCACAGAGAGCACCTGTAGCCCCTCTACTGTCAAAACCATGCCATGGACACACAGTGCAGTATATTTTGCTGTAAGTATTTCAGCTGGGACAGAGTTGGTTCTCTTCATAATGTCTGGTATGATACCATGTTCTGGCTTTAGAAGAAAAATGGTTTGATAACATGCTTCTAGCTGTTGCTAAGCAGTGCTTACAGTGCCAAGGATGTTTCTTGTACTGTTCTGCCAGCAGAGGAACTGGGGGACACAAGGAGTTGGGAGGGAACAGAAACAGTACTGCTGAGTTGAAGTGTCTAATGAGATATTCAAAACTATAGAATCATAGAATCATTTGAATTGGAAGGGACCCGTAAGGA